CTCGAGAGGAGGAACAACAGATATGGATGTCAAGTGGAGGATGGCAGCACCCAAACCCAACAACACAGTCTTGTGGAAGCTCTCGTGCAGAGCTGCAGAATAGCAGCAGTGCGATCTCCAACTTCATGTCCCAGCCCCAACTATGGCTGGGCTTCGAGGAAGACGATGCCCTAGCCCAGGATAACGCAGCAACGCTTCGTCAACGAACGGGCAGAGATTCCCCAGCCGAAAACACGAGAAAAGACCCGACCCAAATTTCGTGCCCTCCACTTCTACCCTCTGCCTAGACCTACGAAGGACTGGCCTAGGACTACCAAACAGAGACTACTAGTAACAGACTCAGGGATCAAGTCCCATACGACTCAACACTCAGAAACAAAACACACAGATTACAGGTCACGGGATCAAGTCCCGCAAGGCTCAAAACAAACAAACAACAAGCAAGCAAGCAACACAGCAGACAAAGGTTGCGGGATCAAGTCCCGACAACGACGCCAAGGACAAAATTAGTAGACAGTCCGCTTATAGCACTGCAATTCATTGCACTCATTACAATAATCTGTCTGCTTTACAATTAAGTGAAAAGAACTGTCTTTTTCTGTGCTATAGAAATTGCTGAATTATCTCTGCGGATCTGAGGATTGATCGAGAAGACCAAGATGCAGCTACAGCCCCGATCTCAGATCTGCAGGTAAAGTTTGAACATTTTATTTTACATTTGAATTTCCATCACATTTCAGTGCGCATGAGAGAGCCTCTAACTCGGCGTTAAGTGGGGGCGAGACAGGCAGAACAAGCCCCACTCTCTGTCAGGCGCTGAGGACCTCTGAAGCGGGCACGGCGAGTGACAGACGTCGCTGCCTCGACGGACGGGATTCCCTCCCCCGGGTTACCGGGCCAAAAAAGTAGCTTGTTTACATTCATGATGAGGGTTCATCGTGTTCCGGAAAGGACGGGTAGTGGGACCAGGTTCCTGGTCTCATCAGCAGGCAACAATTTTTTTTATGCTACCATAGGTTATGCTCATCATTGTGAGCCTTAGCCATGTTTTCAGAGATCAATCCATGCTCTTTTTTGCTTCTCTTTGTTTGTTTTTTTCATCCATGCTCATTTTTACTACCACGGCACTTGGGGACGCTCATATTTGTTCTTGATCTACCCACCCTTCGCCGAACACAACGCCCCCCCTAACCATGAATGCATACATGCTAGTCTGCCGATCCTACAGTCATGGTGAGGGTGCGCTGCACTGCCCTGTGTTCCAGGGAAGAAGGGAAGCTTTAAACTCCTCCATTGAGTCATGTCCCATCATCCACCACAACGTTCATCAGATTGTATACAACCAAAAAGAGTGTGTATACATTTATGGTGTAGAAAGCCTGTATATCTTCTTTGTACATAGGCGCATCGGCACATCATCACCTTTTCAAGCTTTCATTATGCGACAAAAATCGACAGCCGATTGGGAAACAAGACCCCGTGGGAATCTCGACACGTGGGTGGGTATCCTCGTGATCATGGAGGACCCCCTACCTGTTGAGATTTCCAAGTGTCGAGCTAGATTCCCACGTGTCGAGGTAGAGATCCCCACGTCTCGTGGTAGATTCCCACGTGTCATGACCATCAAGATACGCATGTGTCCTATATTCAACATGTGGAAATCTACCTCAACGTGTTATTCAAATTGCTTCCCACTCCATGTGTCGAGATTCCCACGTGTCATGATCATGAGGATACATACGAGTCCTTTATGCGCCACGTGGGAATGGACATGTGCCCTTTATTCGAATTGATTCCCACTGCATGTGTCCACGTGTGGAGATTCCTACTTTTTGTTTGCTGATTCGACGCGACTCGGTTCGACGATACGTGCTGTTTCCCGCTCGTTTCAATGCGACTCGGTTCGACGATACGTGCTGTTTCCCGCGCTTGGACTTCGTTGCAAGAGAGAGAGAGAGTTCGGTTTGGAGAGAGAGAGAGAGAGAGAGAGAGAGAGATTCGAATAGGAGAAGAGAGGATCTGACGTGTGTACTGTCTGGGCGCCGACGAGCGTGAGTGAGTTTTCGACAAAGAGTGTCAGTGGCGTGACGAAGGGCGGCTGGAGAGAAAGCAAAAATGGCAGATCAAGGTAAGTTCGTTTTTTTTTTTTTTTTTCCTTTTGTTGGACGATCGAGGGCGCCGGGAGTGGGGGAGGAGGGGGAG